TTTTCTTTCTGGCGGAACTCTCTGCCCTAGTAAATACAAGAAACTGTTGTTGTTGGTTTTACAACAAACAAGAAAGGTTCCTAAACGTGTGTCTATCTAAAGGAGCGACTAGAATAGTTTTGTCGGCCTCCACAACTGGTGAGGGATGAGCTACCCCAAAAAGTCGTGTAAGTGAAGCCAGACAAGAACGAGACCTGGCCACGATACCTCATCTTTCGTGAATGGATGAGATATCGAAGACGAGATAGGTCTCTCTCGCGGGGGGAAATAGAGGGGAAACGCCTAGATTGCTCCAATTGCTCCGTTCTCTCTGTTTGACCGTACGCCCCGGGTTGAAAAAGGTTTCCAAAAAAATGACTCTATATCCCAAAGAACTTGACCTCCCCTGATCCCCCGCTAAGCCCACACGCGTAGCCGCGCTTCTTGTGATGGGGTATCTCTTTTTTTGCAAGTGAAAATAACAGATGATGTTGGAGGTCTTCCATAAAAGAAGAGTCCGTTGTCATTGTTAGGGGTCATAAAGTCGTAAGCGCACAGCGCGAGTGCACGCGGTCAGCCGATGACTATTCATCGACGCCGCGGCCAAAACTCCTCTTCTTCTAAACGTAGCCAAGAAAGGAAGGCAAAGATCGGTTTTTGTGTTCCCGAAGAGAAAGCTTAGTTGCTGATGACAAAGTCACGCTTGTAGTTGGGGGACTCGTGGTGGTCGTCAATGTCGCGGCGAGAGGTGACGCCGTTGTTGCCCAGGGTGCAGATGAGGTCGGTCTCGGAGGTGACCTTGGTCTGGACATCGTCAGGGAGGTAGTAGGCGTTGTTGCAGGGCCACCAGTCGCAGCCGGAGATGGGCTCATCGCCGCTGGCGGGCCACATCTTCTTGACGCCGTTGTGGTCGTTGGGGTTGACAATGGCGGAGACATCAAAGTAGGTCAGGCCGTTCCAGCCGTTGAAGGCAACCTCGCCGAGCATACCGGCGACGTTCTCGGAGCCCTCAGAGACGGAGTACCAGTTGCCGATCCAGGAGGTGGGGATGTTGACCTTGACCTCGCCGCCGGCGGGGACCTCGACGGAGTCAACAGAGGCGAGACCAGAGTTGGGGGTGAAGTGGACGGTGCGGGAAACGTCGTCGAGAGACTTGAAGGTGACGGTGTTGGCGGCAACGAGAGCGGCCGAGCCGAGGAGGGTGAGAAGGTTGAACTGCATTTTGAGTTGTGGAAAGGGGATTTGTTTGTGTGAGAGTGTGTAAGTGCCGGAGCGTGGTTCGGTGAGTTGAATGTGAGTTGTTTGAAAGAGTCCCGTAAACGTTGTCAACAACGGTTGTACAGGTTCAAAAGGGTTTGAAGATGGTTCTAGGATAAGCGTCTAGCTAAATCTTGAGAACTGAGTTGCCCTGGATGGGTGTTGTGGTGATGGACTCGAGCTTGGTTTGTGAGTTTGATTCTGAACGGACCGGGGCCGTTGAGTGGATGAAAGCTTTCAAAGGAGTGAAAAGCTTCGTGTGTATGTGAAAGGAATGCTGCTGTCTGAAAAGACAAAGTGTGAGGCTCGGCCACAGGAAGGATAGTGATGCGGGATGGGGAATCAAAACCGGGGAAAGGGAAGGCCTCGTGGGAACCGGACCATACTTATACACATGTCAGAAGGATGTGGGAGAAAAGCCTGAAAAGGACTTGCTCATGAGATGGCAGTGGGGAGCGGAGCCGGAGGCGTCAAGGAGTCAACAAGGACGTCCACGGGTGGGAACGTTTGGATACCGCGGTGGGGACTTCAGCCCGAGGGTGTTTCCCAGAGTTACATGGAGTAGCCTCCATCGGAGAGTGGGCTAGGATACTTGGGCGCCATGATTGTAACTTGTACAAGTCGTTGTAACTTGTCAACCATGATTGGACGTGTCTGTGGAATTAATGGCCTCACCAAGCTCAGAGTTTTCGGTCTGGACCAGCACGGAGTCGCATAGGTACCAGGACGTCTGCCATCCTTTTCGGTTCGAGGGCACTAGACAAGGTTTGAACACAACGGTGTCATGGAGTAATAGTGTACTGGATCTGCGCAGTATACTCGACGTACATAGACTGTAGTAAACGAGTGGTTCATGGATCGTTTGGAGCTGGAACAGGGAAAGCCCACCCAGGGTTGTTTTCGGGAACATCTCTAATAGATCTTCATCCTGTCAGACTTATTTCCAGTGTTTACGCCTATTTCTGGAGTTCCAGGCTGTGTCTAGAGTTCCTTTTCGTTTCTAGCGTCAGGGCGCCCTCCGTCGGGAGTTGGCTGTGCGGCAGGAGCACGGAATCGACGCGGCAGTGTGTGCGGGTACCTGGCGCCAAAGGAACACCCACGGACTGGAGGCTGTCGAGGGATTTCGGGGGTCAGGCGTGCCAGGGTGACGAGGGACAAGGCGTATGTATTTCGGTACACCGACGTCTGCAGGCTGCGAGTGCGTGCTGGCAAAAGGAACCGCGGACGTCAGCCCTTGGTGCGGTTTTTGTTTTTTCCCATCCTGCATGTGCGTCAGCTTTCCAAAAGTCTGTTGAAGAGTGTTATTGGCCTGTTGGCTGCTGATTGTGCCTGGTACCTGACACTAGGAGACCTCTGCGCGTGGCGTACCCTGACAGGTTGGAGAGAACAAGTGGTAGAAACGCGCGATTCGAGGCAACCCGGCGCTCCAGCACACAAATTAGCGCCGCGGCTCATGATTCGTACCCGGTCAAGGCCATTTCGGCTCATAACGGGGGCTTTCCCTCGAATAGGTACATACTCGGAGCAGCCCCCTCTCCCCCCTCCCCCTTGGCCCTAAAGCTCTGGTCCCTAGTCGAGCCACGGACTGGTGAGAGGAATGGATAAAATGTGCCGGCCAGTACCGAGTGAACCCCCCTGTCATGGGACGCCGGGTTACGCAGCCGGGCGGAAGTTGGGAGGGAGTGCGCGGGAGAGCCGTGCTGGCTATGCCTTTTGGGTGAACGCCGAGACGGCAGCGCGTGGCTTGAGCTCCCGCCGCACCGGTTCATCTGTACTAGAGAGTGACAGGAACGGCCGATCAATGTGATGAAATGCAGGTGATGGACCAAGGAACCAGACGACAGCAACGACTTGAGCCAACGTTTGTAAAGATGAGATGACGGCCTCGCTGGCAACGCAGGCGTTTCCGGGGATGGGAGACCAGAGCGCTCACTGGAGCAGACAGCACAGAGGCCAAGGCTCACTCAGCAAGGAAAAAGAAAACACGACGACATCAGTCGTTGGACGACAACCATCTCGGTTGGCAATCCTTCAGACTCCTGTGACGGAGGCGATGCCACGACGCCGGAAAATGCCTCTCTGTGCCCTGGCAGACCCCATCGGCGAGGAATCGTTGCTGGCCAGAAGGGCTTGGCGAGGTACATCCGAAAGTGTCCAGGAGGGGAAGAGGGGAGAAGAAACTTCAAGGAAGAAACGGCCAGACTGGAGGCTCTGAGCTTTGTGAGCGAATCGGGGAGCAAGGTTCAGACCAAGGTTGTCGACCTGGACCACTGGTGTGAACTTGTAAAGTTGGCACCAGGAACAAGATGTCAGGGCAAAGCCGCAAGGAGGGTGTGATGGAGCGTGGCCGAAGGGGGAAGGAAAGTGGGTTGTACCTGTCGATCACAGCCCGAGTGTGTGGTGTCCCGTGCACTGTAGATGAGGCCGTACTGGGGACTGACGGAAGGTCGTTGGAGTGATAGATAGAATACAGCAACTTCGCCTCAATTACTAACAATATCTCGACATGTGAGCAGTTCCCGGTACTAGGCGGAGGTCCCCGGACACTGCCCCGACGTCTGCGGTCTGCCCCCTCCTCTCTCGGCGCTCCTCACCTGCCATGAACAACTTTATTCACGCAGTGTGCGCACATGCTGTCAGTGCCTGCATATTTCGATGGCCTGAACTTTCAGGTTCAGTTAATTGGAACTTTCTGATTTTTCCAAAAGTTTCTTTCCGATAATTGGTCTCTGCCTCAGCCTGAGTCATCTGTACATAGTGCCTCAGGCCTGCAGGGCAACGCAGCTTACTGCGTAGGCTCAACGCCACCAACATGTCGCGACTTGCGACTACAGTTGACGACTCAAGTATCGCCGAGCTATCCATTCAGCCATGGACCTTGTTGACTAATAGTACCGAGGTACACAATACAAGGAGACACATGAAGCAGAAGAAGAAGAAGAGTATGAAGAAATTGCCATTTCACAACAGCCAATATTGAATAATTGGACTGAATAATTGCCCATAAGTTACCGAGTATAAGGCTGGGGACTACAAGGTAGTGTAGCAAGGAGGCAGATTAAGGTGATATCTAAGGTGTAGGTTAAGGTGAGAGATGTACTGCAAATCTCTTTTTACCGTCAGATCGGTTGCTCGTCTGTGTTGTCTATCCACTGGAGCATCTTTCCCCGACTTGGTCTCGGGCAGTAACAGGCACACGTGCTTGCTCCCGGGATACCGTGACCGAGTGGTCAGCAACGAGGAAGCAAGCTTTTGCTGCTCGGTGCCGCTGCCTATTGTTTCCATTGTCTGGGCTCGTCTGTAATGGTTGCATTGGCATGTCGCATATCCTTGGCGGCCCGTTGAGATGATCATTGGGACGGGGCTGTTCTCGACCGCAGCCGGTTCCACTGATCATCGCTCACTTTCCGGACAGTTCGCACCTAGGGCAGTCACTGCGGAAGGAATACTGTACAGTACGTACTTGTGATGAAGAGCCTGCAGGCTGCAGCAACGGCTCGTGAAGTCGTGGCTGCCAACAATGAAAACCGCTCCAGTCTCGACTGCCACGATTGAGTACACTAAGGTATTGTCGACCGGTGTAAGGTAATCGAGCCTTGGGCTACCTTAAGCAGTTCATGGAAGCCGGAGCGCAGGCCGCGTGCTTGGTAATCGGTACGTATCTCGATGCACCAACCGTCAGATGCTGAGCCAGCCCTAAACGGAAGGCAGGTCCGTTCGAGAACGGGGCTCCGGCGGGCCCATTTTCAGCAAAGTTCTGTCCAATGCAGGAACCGTCGATGGGACGGAACTCGGTTACGCCAAAGTACCACGGCACCGAGACGGAAGTTGGAACCTTCGTCTCCGACAACAAGGTACCTCTTGCTCTAGCGCATCCCAGTTAATTCTCCAGTCTCAAAAGACTCTTCACCTTGCTTTACCTTCCGTTTGCGCCTTGGCTTGCCAACTGCTTTCTCAGCCAGTTTCTAACTGGCTTCTGGCCTTGGACATCTGATGTCGGAATTCCCTCACACCATCATCGCCAGAATCCTTCTCCACCGGATCCCCGTTGCAGTTCTGTCGGTGGAACACCGCAATCTGGATTTCTGGCCTCGGATTGTCCCAGCAGCGGCCCCCAAGCAGCATCACCATCTACCCACCCAGCCTTGGAAGCGGATTCAGTGTCGCAAGACCTTGCCGGAAAGCTCTTTATCGTCACCAAGGCGAGGCGGGGGACGAGCTGTGATCTCATTGTGCCCATCGAATCCCCCGCTCTCTGCCCTATGTTGGCTCTAAAGCTCCTCTTCCCCCGCAAGCTATTCCCACAACCAATGCCATTTTGCCATCTACGGATACCAAGAAGTGCTCGCAAACTTCACTCCAACCACACGAACTGCCGAGGAAGAAAACCTTTCACGCCAGGTCTTCTTGGTTGTGGATGCCTTGCCCACCCGTCTGTCCACCGCGCGCGTCACCGGTGTCGCAACGGCGAAGAACTTCGCGACCGAGGTCTGTCCGGTGCCACTCCGTTAAACCCGAAACTGTTCTCGACCTGCGAAGAAGAAACTTGGCGCCGACGACCGTTAGCACCATGAACCCTGAACCTTGAAGCGAGAACGTGACAGAGGCCGACTTTGACAGCAGGACTCCCCGCAAGATTGTAACTGTTTGGGTGGAGGGGCATTTCCCTGCTTCAGGTGGCCATCTCTCAACCAAGTCTGCAGGAGCGTTGGCACTCTCACTATGGAACTGGCGAGAACAAGATTCGCCTGCTGCTGCTCTGATAGCTGCCTTATCACTTGGATCTGTTGAGGCGCATCTTGCGGACACCGATTCCATCCAACCCGAAGCATGAATTTACCCGGCTGTCGTTGTTAGGGCCGGGTTTTGGCCGATATTGATGCTCGACTCTACTCATCCAGAGACCGGCGCGAGAGACTGATCGACACACAAACACCATCGTTACGCGATGTGATAATCTGCATGCCAAGTGGGTTTGCTTCTACAGCTTCAGCGGCAACGGGCGCTGCCTGAAGAGGACATGGAAGCTGTGTTGTGCTGACTCTAGCACTTGCGCATCCATCTCTCTTGCTTTTCTTATCATCATTCTCTTTTCTCTTCCTCGGCGCAGAATTGCGAAAATCTGACTGCAAGCCGGCCGTTTTGCCTAGTCTCAACAACGGCTCGTTCAGATACACCAGGATATTCGAGATATGCCTGGAGGCGTAGCTCGCACTGAGGGAGCATCTTGAGAACTCCTCTTAGAAATCAGCTACAAGTGCTAGCAATCTGCTGCACTGCTCAGAAAGCCAACTATGCAAGCGCTGGTTGTGATCTTCTTTTTCCCGTTTTTGCCGTGTCAGTCAGCTTGTCTGTTTAGAGATTCACATACATTCCAAAGCGTCGAATACAGCACCATCTGCTGAGACGCCCTGATCTGTTCAATTGGCCTCAGTCAAATCACGAGGCGATTTATTCAAGCGGCCGAACCCGTCGGCCGAAGGTGAATATATTTTTGGCAACTTGGTGAGCAGCATAGTATTTGCGGCCAGGCTACAGAGGCGAACACGAGGCAACGTTGTTCTGTAAAGACTCATATTCTGCACCATTCTTTGATAAGATGCTTAGCTTCTGGCGTCGAATAAGTCACTCCGGAGACATTTTCCAGCCGGGTTTTCACGATGCGTATCCAAAACTAGAGGCATTTGTGGTTGATGACACGAACTGTCACCGCTAGACCCCTACCATCGCATAATCACTTGCCCAAAAAGATTTCAATAAAGTGACCGGCCCAATAGAAGGATAGGGTCGAGAACCAAACCCTCAACCCACCTCTGCTGTTCTGCCGGCCAAAGCAATGGCGCCATTCCCGACTAAGCATGACAGGGCAGGACTTTCTCGTATCTTCGCCGTCCACCTTGCCGGGACGGAGTCACATTCCTGCCTCATGGCCACATCTGGCACGGCGATGCGCGCCACCTACAAGGTGCGTACAGTCATCAGTACCAGCTGCCCATCAGAACCGAGACGCAAAGAACCGAATTCGGGGTTGGAAGGCGGGCAACGATACGCCCGACTGAGCAAGGGCGGCGATGCCCGGCAACATCGTTTTCACGGCGAGGCAAACATCCCATGCCGTGTAAGCACCGGTTCCAAAGCATTCTTCTGCACGATGAATCTATTCACGCAGAAATGACCCCGCCTCTACGATACATAAGGGGAGCGATCGCCTGGCTTGGCTGTATTATATCGTTCTGAATACCATCGTTTAGACCTCTCACATCCGCCCATCACCTTTGCTCAACTTGCAGCGTGCCTTTGGCAGAAACACCTTCGCTTGAATCAGAGACACTCGCTTCCAATCTACGATGAAATACATCCAGCTCTTGTCTGTAGCGGGGCTCGCAGCCTATGCGCAGGCTTGGGGGACTGATATCAGCACCGCTTACACGACTGTGGTGACTACAGCCTATGAGACATACTGTCCTGTAAGCTTTTTGAAAAGCGAAGACTTGATGCAAGAGACCAGAATGCGAAGCTGACATGAATCAAGTCGCCCACTACCTTTGTTCATCATAACGTGACTTACACGGCGACCACGGCAACGACACTTACCATCACGAGTAAGTCGACCAGCCTCGATCGACTTCTGCTTTGCTGCCATACTGACATAAGAACAGACTGTCCTTGCACTATCACTACCAGACAACCCCCACCATACACCACAAGCAAGACTATTTACCCGCCGCCCGTCGTCAACACCACTTCTTGCCCGCCAGAGATCACCAGCACGACGGTCAAGACGATCAAGACCACCAAGCACACCCCGCCTCCCAAGCCGACCTACCACAACACCACCGTCATCGAGCACACGCCCAAACCTCCCAAGCCTACGGGGCACCCGACTCACTCGGAGGAGACGCCCAAGCCGCCCAAACCCACGGGCGAGCATCACCACCCCCACCCTAACAGCACCTCGACTGTCGTTGTTGTAATCACGCCGCCCGCCGAGACTATCATCGCCAGCACTACCCCCGTTACCCCCGTCACGCCCGTCACCAACCTCCCCACCAATACGCCTGTCGGGCCAACGACCACCAGGCCCGTCACGGTTCCCGCGAACGCGGCTGGTATGGTTGAAGCTGGTGCTGGTGCGGCTTTGGCTGCTGTCCTACTCGCTCTCCTGGTTTGATCCGACTGGATGGAATTGGGGAGTGAGTACGTCTGACGATTTGGCTTTTAACTTTCATCACCTTCATTTACGGCCGGCAAAAGTTGGAAAGAGGTGAATAGACCGGATAATCATCTTTGCTTTTTATTACGATACCCTGTGGCAACTTTTGAAGTTTAGGACACAACGGCGGTTATCTGTGGGGGGTATAGGGAGTGTTTTGCCAAATGGGTTACATACAGTCCTTACGAAAATAATGATAATCATAGTTCAGAGCAGACGTACTCAGACATGTCAGCACATCACTAGAAGCAATCCTTACAAGAAAGCATACCTCAAAGTTCGATTTCCCCCCCTCGATAGGTGATAGGTCGGTCGATAAGGGAACGACTTGATAAGAGCCGCTGCGGTGAATAACGCAACTCTTCACGTCCGCCAAGAATCAATAATTCAGAACCTCGGGCAGCTGACTGCATATACAACACACCCTCACACCACAAGCTACATAAGGCATCGAACTACGATTGTGGCCCCGACCAAAAGCAGGCTGCGGGACCACATACACCCACACCAAAAAGAAGCTTCTCCAGCAACAAAGGAACCCGCGCAGAAAGGCAGAATCTCTGCTGCGCCAGCGAGAAGCACAAAAAGACAGCGCCGATACTGTGTAGTTTGCGACGACGATGGGCGAAACGGGGGTGCTGAACAATCTAGTGGTCTTCCTGACCCCCCCCGCTCGTGCACGCTCTTCGTATTCCGCACCACGACCCCCGGCAAAAACGAGCCAAGCACGTGGTTCGTAGCCCGCGGGAAGAAGCTTACATCGATCGTCTAGGTACGAAAGCGGGCGTTTTTGGCGTAATCGTGATCGTGGGAGGGTAAGGGTGTAAAGACGTGTTGGGCTGGCCGGGGGGTGGGTGTTCTCGTATTCAGGCTCTTAACCCAAACCCGACCTCCCCCCCGCCCGCCTTCTTTCTCGACTACTACCGGTAGGTTTCGTATATCTCTTTCCCGCTCGCCTCGTTTAGCGTCTAATACGGTGACGTGAGATCTTGTGCGTGACTTTGATGAACCGTCATGGAATACGTGGGTAGGGGGTTTTTGCGGCCTGCCCGTGAAGATATTTGGATGTTTGTGTATGGACGAGGGAAGCCAGACGCGGAGGGGAAAACGTGGAGGCGGGAACGGCGCCGCAGGCCAGTGCCGGATTTGGATCCGCGATTGCGCAAGGAAGTATAAACCTACCTGCCTCGCTTGCACTAACGCCCACGGGGGAAATCTCAGTTCATAGGTCTCCAGTGGGATTCACGACACTGGAAGAGTCACAAGGTGCTAGGTTCCCGAGGCCATGTGGTATCTCATTATTTTACGCCTGAATACTTGAACAATCATTATACGCCGAGTCCATCAGCACTCCCTTTTCTTCGCCTCATCTGTCTGTGAGGGCCCGGTAGACATGAATATGTGGTGTCAACAACCCCTCATGGCGTATTGTACGCCTGTCGTATGCGAAGGTTTCTGGGAACCAAGGCGATTCACGGTGCCGCCTTTGCTTATGCTGGACTCAGGGACTGATGCCTAATTCCGCATTCCTAATGCGTACCCGAGCCTCTCTCACCAAAGCCTTGGCCTCCTCAACTTCGAAGCCATCTTGTGTCAATTCAGTCCCCAGTCGATTGGCCGTCTTGTAGTCCGCCGTCCGCATGGCATGCTTCGCGAGCCACATTCGCGCTTTGCTCGTCGACGCCGTGACACCAGTTCCCTCGTTCCCGCCCTCCTTGCGACCATCACCGTTACCCTCGTCGTCAGATGCGCCTGGCGAGTCGTTGTGTATGGCGATCGAATCGTTCAAGACATTGTCCGCGGCTTCCCCGCCCTCTTGAGCGAGACAAAGTTCCATGTAGGCTTTTGATTCCTCCTCTTCGCCGAGCTGGTCGTACATGCTTGCAATCTGGAAGAGCAGCTCCGGGTCCAGATGACCTGTCGCGCCACGGCCGTTGAGCAAATCCCCTCCGCTTCCGAAGCTGCTTCCAACGTCGTAGTATGCGTCTGCCAGCAAAGCTCTCTTGAGCGCCTTGATACCATCCTGGTCGCGCCCCATCTTCTGCAGACACGATCCAACGGCGAGCCACATCTTTCCATCCCAGGGCCTAAGCCCGGCTGCCTTTTTGTAGTACCATAGACTGTAGGTGTGCATTTCCAACATTTCGTACGTCTGGCCAAGGCCGTACCAAGCTCGGTAGTCCCGGCGATTGACATCGACGGCGCGTCGATACGATTCTATTGCGGCGTGGGTATTCTTCAGCTCCACATACTCGTGACCCATTAGTGTCCATGCTGACAGGCATGTTCGGTCAAGAGTCAACGCTCGCCGGAAATACTGCACTGCCTTTTCGTGCATAGATAATAGTGAGTAGTAGTTGCCCACCACTACACAAGACTCTGGCCGGAACTTGTCGATGCTCGAGCAGAGGTGCGCAAGGAACGCAAGTTTTGGCCTCAGATTCATGACGTAAAGAATGTTGGAGTAGTGATCTAGTGACTCTAGTCGGTGGGGGTGGAGTGACAGCAATCGACTGAAATGTTGTTCAGCGGCAACGAGGTCTTTTGAATGATATGACAGCATGGCGTTGCATGTGAGAAGAAAGGATGAGTCTGGGAAGATTCCGAGTAGTGAGTCCAACGAGTTGGCGAGTTCGGGTGTAGCCTGGTAGAGCTCGAGCGAGGTGTAGAGGTGCCAGATGAAGGACAATATGTTTTGCGGGAGGTGCTCGGCAATCCGACTCAACTGTGCACTTGTCAGCTTGATCTGGCGACTAGGGCGTATCGACAGAATCAAAAACTTACATCGTCTATCCGGGAGATAAGTTGGGTCATTTCCAGCCAGCAGCCCCAGTTCATAGGGTACAGGTGGACGCTTCGCACAAAGTAATCCATCGCCTTGTCCTCGTTCTTCTCCTTTGCTAGAACCATGCCATATCTTATCCACGGTAAGCAGATGTACGTGAGGAGATGAGAGAAGAGTAAGATTTGCCGCCTACTCACAGGTATTCTAACCAACCCTGGCTGCCGAGGATATCCCCGTCATCCGTCGTCCGCTCGTCGAACCAGTTGCTGAGGAACCGGCTGACAGCATTCAACTGCTTATTGACGATGTTGCCTAGGTCCTGGGGTCCCATGACCATCTCCGAATCCTCGTCTTTGCGCTTCTCCCCGGACATGAACTTTGCGTACAAGGCAAGGAACAAGCTCTTCTGACTGAGCCGGGGCAGCTCAGTGCTGCTGCCGCCGGCTGTTCTCGTCGTCTCGGCGTCCCCTCTCGTCTTTGACTTTGACTTCCCCTTGGACGCCCCCGGCGGTCCATCTGCATTGGAGCTCAGAACACCGGATAGTATAGAATCGGGTAGGAAGACGGCGGCGCAGCGGTCAAACTCCCTTGAGTCGAAGAGGGTCTTGGCCAGCAGGTATTTGTTGATCTCTTTGGCCTCGAGGAGGGCTTCCTCGGGGTCAGCGTTCACGGTGAAGACCGTCGGGATGTACTGGGTATCAGTAACGGCAGGGTCGGCGTCGTTCGAAGGCTCGGGTATGGCGTTGAGAAGCTCTGCGGCCCTGGGATCGAGGTCAGCCGTGGAGTCTCTTTCGCAATGGGTCCTCGAGAAACTTGCCATTTCGCAGAGGAGTACAGGCACCGCTCGGAGCACTTGACGACAGCATCCTGCAGAGACTCGCGGAGCTGCGACAGCTCATTCTCGTTCAGTGACATCTCTGCGCATCCCCGGCCAGAGGGGCAAGAGCTGGGTCGTCTTGTCGTCGCACAGGTTCCAATTCGTAGGGGAGTGAATCGAAGCAACGTCCAATTGAGCGCCTTTAGCTAACGTACGGACCAGTCGCTTCTAGAGTTTACTGTCTACAGCTTCAAGGCGCAAAGTGAGGGCTGAGAGACGAGATACAGAGATGCAGGGTTGCTGGAATTGGCGATGCGAATGTTGTGTTTCCTTGTCCTGACGTAGTAAAGCTTAACGGCAGAAAAGGAAGCGGTCCACCCAAGGATTCCCACCACGCGACGGGCGCGACGACGCTAAAGTGACCTACGGTGTACTTGACCGCCACGGTGAGCAACGCAGCGTAGCGGCCAATCCAGTAAAGTTTGGTGAGCTTAGGTAATGGAGACCCCGCCATGGTGCTTGAGGCGGAAGTCAATTGGATGTCGTGGGTCGCCTGTCATCCCGAGACCCCACTTATCCCGGCAACATCAGGGACCGTCTGGGAAATCGCCCCCCCACCGCCTGCCAAAATAGCAACTGAAGATCGGATGAGGGGTACACTTTCTTTCTCATCTTGTACGAGTTGGCTCTAATTTGACGCGGGCGCATTAATTTCGGATTGCTATCGCAAACTTGCCTAGTAAATAAATTTCCCAACCAACCTCTCTCTGTCTCCCTCTTCCTGCCACTCGCGCTGCCATTGTTCGTCCACCTTTGTCTCCTTGCTTCTTCCTTTCCCCCTCTCTCCCCTCTTCCCCACGATACCTCCACTCCGTTTTCGCTCTCGTCGCTAACCTCGAACGCCTCCAAAAGACCGTTGCAACCCCTGATCCAATCCAGCCACCCCGCCGAGCCGGCCTCAGACCACACCGCAAAATCAGAACAAGATGGCCAAGAAGACTACCCTCACCGAGTTCGAGTCGGTCTTCCCCAAGCTCGAGGAGGTTCTCCTCGAGCATGCGGAAAAGTACAAGCTTCCCAAGGAGGAGCTGGCGTGGTATAAGAAGGCAAGCATTTAGCCACACCGACCCCTGGACACTACTCTACTGTCTAAATGGTTTGGTATGAGGCTATGTGCGTGAGCGCATGTGTGCCGCGTCCCCCTCATTCTCAATGGCAATAGAAAAAGGGAGAAACTGTCAGAGAAGAAGAACACCAAAAGATTAACAGCTTTCCTGTGCGCCAGAGTCTTGAAATCAACACCCTCGGCGGAAAATGCAACCGCGGCATGTCGGTCCCCGACTCCGTCTCCCTCCTACTCGACAAGCCTCTCTCCGAGGAAGAGTACTTCCAAGCCGCCACCCTCGGCTGGTTGACGGAGCTCCTCCAGGCCTTCTTCCTCGTCTCGGACGACATCATGGACAGCTCCATCACCCGCCGCGGCAAGCCCTGCTGGTACCGCCACGAGGGCGTCGGCATGGTCGCCATCAACGACGCCTTCATGCTCGAGGCCGCCATCTACACCCTCCTCAAGAAGTTCTTCCGCGAGCACGCCTCCTACGTCGACCTCCTTGAGCTCTTCCACGAGGTCACCTTCCAGACCGAGCTCGGCCAGCTCTGCGACCTCCTCACCGCCCCCGAGGAAAAGGTCAACCTCGACAACTTCTCCATGGAAAAGTACCGCTTCATCGTCGTCTACAAGACGGCCTACTACTCCTTCTACCTCCCCGTCGCCCTCGCCCTCCACTGCCTCAACATCGCCACCCCCAAGAACCTCAAGCAGGCAGAGGATATCCTCATCCCCCTCGGCGAGTACTTCCAGATCCAGGACGACTACCTCGACAACTTTGGCCTGCCCGAGCACATTGGTAAGATCGGCACTGACATCATGGACAACAAGTGCAGCTGGCTCGTCAACCAGGCCCTCGCCATCGCCACCCCCGAGCAGCGCAAGATCCTCGAGGACAACTACGGCCAAAAGGACAAGGCCAAGGAGGCCGTCATCAAGAAGCTCTTTGACGACATGGAGCTCAAGCGCCGCTTCGAGGAGTTCGAGGAGAAGCGCGCCGGCGAGATCAAGGACATGATTAACAACATTGACGAGAGCGAGGGCCTCAAGAAGGGCATCTTTGAAATCTTCTTGGCCAAGATCTACAAGCGCTCCAAATAAACTACTTCCAAACCACAAAGTATAGGTACTAATGCAGATGGCGCGCGTGTTTCTGTTTGGCGGGCATCATGGATTTCTGCGTGTGGCACAAATGGAGCCGTGAAAAGAAAACCAATTAGAGAAAGAAGATAGATACCAGAGTCCAATTGATTGACGATGATGACACCAACTCAAACAATAGAACCGTTAGAAAGTATGGAGAAGAAAAAGTTTCCGTATTAAGAGATAACAAAAGAAAAACGTTCCTGACTAGAAAGATGGCCTAGTCCGATAGATAAGATGACTAGACAAAACAAAATATGCCATCTTTTTTGGGTTCCCTCTCCAAAAGCTTTTTGTTGCAGACCGACATGCTAGTCGCATCGACATCCGGGTATCTTACATGTTAAATGACATCTCCCTGTGCGCCTAAATCGCGTCCACTGCAAGATCCGCTCTCCCTCTTCTTTTTCTCTTGGTCTTACAGCGTTGGTGGCTCCTTCCAATCTTCAGCCGAGCGCCACCATACGCTCTCGTCATCCTTCAGTGCCTGACGGTACCACTTCGTCCGAGACCCTGCGACATGCCCTGTGACATGCGAGGCCTCGTATCTCGACCCCTCTCGCGTTCCACAAAGTTGATGAGCGGAACGTCCTCGTCATCTCTTCTTGACGATCGTCTCGGCATGGAGGGCATGGGAGGCTGCTGCTCGTTGGAAACCACGCGACGTACGGCACCGCCGCCTGCTGTGGACCGACTCCTCGGTCTCGAAGCGGCCGACTGCGACGCCATGCGCTGGGGAGGGTACGCCTTTGCCGTGCCCATGCGGGTAACGGTTGGAAGCTGCGGCCCTAGGTGCCCGTCTGGAAGCTCCAAGCCCGTCGCCATCTCGATGAGGGGCTTTCCGGTGGGTACACGTACACCGCGACCTTGGCCGTCTCGCCAGGCTGCGGGTAAATCGGGCACCTTGGGCGTGAGGTCGACAAGAGGCTGCGGCATCTCTCGTTTCCCTGAAGATGACCCACCATCTGATGTCTTGGGACGCGATGAGGTGGTCGGACGTGCGGCGGGAGGCCGTGATCGACTCCGCGGCTGAGGCATGGGGTCTGTCGCCGTGGGGCGAGACGAACGCACCGTGCCTCTTCTCTGCGGCATCCCGTTGTTTTCGTGTTCTGGGAACTGGCCGAGCAGCGAGTGCCCCCCGGTAAACGGACTTTCGACTGCATATTGTTGATGGTCTGCGGTGAGAGCAGCCTTCTCTGCTTGTTGTTTGCGCCCCTCGTACGCTTGGCCCAACAAACCACCGGACTTGAACTCGTCCTTGGCAAAGGGGTCGATGAGTCGCCTTGTGTGAGGCTGCGACAGATTCGGCGTTGTCCTGGATCGGGAGACAACCTTCTGGGATTGGGTGTGTCTGGGTGTAGAGTGATGGTCTGCGTGTCGAGCCGTCGGCTTGTTGTCCAAATCCTTCCCGAAATCGTCAATCGGTTTCTCGAAAGTGTTCATGTCCAGGAGCGGCGAGAAAGTTCCAATGGTATATGGCGTCTCGTCGGCGGATGCCCGGGGCCGGTGCAAGGTGCCGCTTCTTGTAAGACCGCCACCGCCTGTTTTCGTTCCGTTTCTCGCATTGCCGCTATGTGAAGATGATTTCTTCTTGTTGAGGTCGACAATTTTGTTCGCAATGTACCAACTACGCCACCCTTGAATGACTTTCTGGAAGTCTTCCGCGAGTTTTAGATCATCCGTGGCGAAGAAGTGGATGAAGTTTTCCGTATTTTGGAAGACTGTTGATTTCTGTTGACTCTTGACCGCAAAGCAATTCTTCTTTGGAGCTCTGATCTGCTTCAGCATGTCCTTTTCGGTGACGGTATACAGGTCGAAGTCGGATAAATGGCACAGGGAGACGGCATCCTTGTCCGACAGTTTGGCATCCTTCTTCTTGGCTGAAAACATTTGCCCAGTCTCCAAGAGCGTGACGTAGCGTTTGTTCCATTTACCGGGCCGCTGAGAGTGGTATAGCGCGAAGTTGATGAGACCTGGGGGCGGATCGATAGTGCGGGGCACACCTTCGAGGTTCAGGTCGGGGTTCTTGTCCGTGGATTCACCCGGTACGATGAGTAGACAGTGCTGCGTATCGCGGTCCCAAGAGTTCATCACAAGAGCCACAGGCTCATAGCGTCTCAGGCGACGTTCCAGACCAAAAGCGAAATAGCACTCGAGCACAACACTGGTTTGCGGGTTGATGTTGTGGGTCATGAGGTTGGCGGCCGAGTATAGAATCTCACTCGGGGTAGTATCGGGGGTGACAGGAAGACTGATTGACGACTGCATGCAACGTATCGTCACTCGCTTTGAGAAGAGCATTAGCAAAAAGATGAAGATCAGGGTCATGCATGGTCAGAGTGAGGGAAAGACTAACGCGTTCTCCGGCATTGCTAGCAGAGGTTGGGGCATCTGTCTGGGGGACAATGCCGCCGCCACCGGCTTGTATAAAGCGGGAGGGGTCCATGACACTGACGGGCCTGTGATCGAGGGTGAGGGGTTGAAAATATTGAGAGGGAGGTTTTGTGAGGGTATTCGCAGGTTCGGTCTTGCGCCCCTTTCTCAAGAAGAAGGTAAACTTGTCGACAATAGGGCTCCGGACACGGGAGGCTGGTGCGTCGGGTACGGCGGCCAATTGAGCCTGGAGTCTTGCGAGGTCCTTTGCCTTTTGATCTGCCAAGATGCGATCGGTCTCTGCTTCAAGACGAGCAACCTCTTCGGCCCAGCGAGCAGCGTCCTCCTCTTCCTGTTCCTTGCGACGTCGGTGCTCTTCTTCCTCCTGGGCGAGCAATTGCTGGTGTTGTTGGTGGCGCCGGCGCTGTCGATCTTCCTCTTGACGGGCAAGCTGCTGGTCCCAGTTGGGGTTATTGCTGCGGATGAGGTCCTCCTTGTTGGTGTAGGTGTAGTCGTTGTTGTTATGAGAGTCAGGTTGGAGAGCGAGCTTAGTGATAATTTGAGAGCGAGCGTGTTCAGCCCTGGCAGCGAGCTTCAGGTCGGCGCATGACGAGTGGGAAGAAACCAAGATTGGATTGTGCGAACGAGGGCGCAGATGGGGACCGGGAGGCGGGACGAGGTCGCGTGCTCGGGTATGATGTGCCTGGGCTTGGGCTTTGGCTTGGCCTTGAGCCGGGAAGGGCAACGGAAGTAGTCCCAGTCCTATTCCAGGAGGAGATGGTTGTGTTGGATGTAAAAGCGAGTGTGGTGGAGGGGGAGGAGGAGGAGGAGGGTGATGCGGTACTGGCGGCGGTGGTGTAGCTGGTTCAAGTGGTGCCGTTCCTTGGGATCCTTCTCCTGGCGCTGGTGCAGGCGCAGATGCAGGCGCAAGTGCAAATGCGCGGACGACTGGGACTGCTGGGACTGTGGGTAGTCGTGGTGGTGTAGGAGGTACTGTCGTCAGCGATGTTGGCGGTTGTGGTACATGCCCGACGAGGTTCGGTTTCGGTGCCGCAGACCAAGAAGCAGAAGACGCAGACGCAGACGCAGACGCAGACGCATCAGCAGCTGACGCTGATGCTGGTGGTAATAACGCTGATCCTGCAGACGGGGCCGGCGGACAGGGGCTCAAGGCGTACAAAGGGGCGGCCTGAGTGGAGGAAACCCCTGGAACCCCTGGGGCTGGGGACGTGGACCCGGAATAGGATGGCGCTAGGGAGAATAAGGAACCCGGTTCGCTTGGGGGTCTGGGGCCATAAGGGCCGCATGCGTCTGTTGTTGCACCAGTAATAACACCACTGGCACGACCACCGCCTGCAGGAGGAGAGGACCTGGTATCTGTAGTCGTGGTCGTAGGGGACTTCGGAGACAGAGAAGGCGGCGAAGAAGAAAAAAAAAAAGGAGGAGACGAGCTTCCATGCAAGGGGCTCCAGCTGTCGTCCAGGTCCGCCTTGGGGGCCGTCTTGGTTGGTCGCCGTCGATTGGGGTAGCTGAACCGCACGGGGGATTCGGGAGGGGCTGGGACCACCATTCTTTTTCCACCGCCAACCACACCATCTCCAGCACCAGTACTGCCAATATCAGTGCCAATTCCACCACCCCCACGACAATAATAACTCGCACTACGCCCTCCTCCTTGGCCTTCAACTTCCCATGTTGCTGCACAGCGACCACCGCTACTGACCGGAGAATTCTCAAAATCAAACGGAGACGAAGCGTCGCTGATGCCGGTACCGGCCATGAGATCGGGCCACTGCCATTGCATTGTCAACTGCGGTGCTCCCGACGGTGTTTGCGGCACCGACGTCGACAGCAGCGGCGCCGTGCGCCTCCTCCTTAATGATGAAGCTGGGGTTTGCTGCTGCTGCTGCCCATACTGATCATGACGATGCGGCGACGAGACCGATGCCTGTCCATCATCACCACCACCACCAACGGCTCCCTCCTCTTCATCCACGGCAATTCCAATGCCTAGACCCAGCGCAATGCTTGTCGCGGTGCCCGTCTCGGTCGTTGCATTGGACACCGTCTCGTCGTCCTGGAAAATATCCACCTCCCAGTCCCGCCAGTTGCGTCCAAAGTCCAGCACACTCTTGTGCTCCCGCACGCTTCTGTACCGTGTGAGCCTCCCGGCGGTGACGCTCTGGCCTCGTCGGGGTGGATGCGGCGCAGGTGATTTCGGTGGCCCTGGGCCTGCCGACATGGTGCGATTAATACGCGGAAACCCTTCCATTGTGGGTGGGTGGATGGGTGTGGGTGCGCGATTTGTGTGTCAAGTGATTGTGTTATTTCGTTTTCAGAGCTCGTTCCCCTTCTCTTCCTCGGCAGTGTCGCCTTCGTCGTCTCGCTATCCTGTCCCTTGAACCGTTCGCCTGATGCGATACAATGCGATGCGATGCTAGACAGGGCCTTGAAATCAGAACCCCGGATTTTCTCGTCCGATGGCGTCGATGGTAGCGGCGACGGCGTTGTGCGGCTGCGGCCCAGTCCGCTGGAACCTTGGAACCCTCCGAGCTGATCGCCCCCAGCCCAGCAGGGAACACTTGAACGTTATCTTGCAGCCTTTGCCCTTATTTCCCCCTTCCTTTGATTGCTGCTGCGGTGCTGCCCCAGGACCCTGCAGATCTCCCTGCAAGTGATAGATAACGAAAGATGGGATTGATAGGGCTGGTGGTCCGTCCCGACCAAACTTGTTTTTTTCGGTCTCCTCGGTTCCCGGATAGGGAAATCTTTGACGGGGGTTCGCGCAAAAGGTAAAGGTAAAAATAAGATGTGAGTTAATATTGATTAGATTAGATGGCTACAATAGTAGCACTTTGTGAGTTGAAACAATAAGCAAAGAAAGTTGACGATGATGAAGAAATTTAGACGTTGTGTCGTACAAGAAAAATGATGGACGTTGATGCAGGCAGCGAACAGGCGGAACCAGGAGCAAAGAGCGAAGGAGGAAAGAAGGAAGGGGAAAAAAAGAAAATGTGGCGAGACCTCTCCTTCCCATAAGTCGGGGTCCAAGAAGACGGCAGGCAAGGGAGACTTTTTACATCTCTCCCGGCAATCGCCTCATCCTTTCTCTATTCACCTCAGGTATCTCACCTTACCTGTGGACTATCCAGTAGATCACGCGTCAGCTGATGAAAGGGGTCCATGTGTCTCCAGAGGCATGCAAAGCACACCGAGAGCGCGACGCCGCACGTCCTTTGCCGAATGCCAGTCAACCTTCATCCAATTTGCACCCCCAATTGAATATGGATTGTGGTTCAGGAACGGGCAAGCACTGCATTCCTGACCAGACCCCGACTCCCTCTTGACGTGTCAGTGTTTACACTTTCTCCTACATGATGGACGCGACCTCGGCCTGGGCAGAATCCTCCGTGAGCGGTGAGCCCGTGTAATCAGGATTGTAATTTCAGCGAGATGCGGATTTCGTGATTTATGAGATTGCTTCACGTTGTTTGTCATATTGCGCATGATGCCCTGGAAGCGTCCGCGATGAACCGACAGAATTCCATCGCCCTTTGAGACACCTTACCCGCCCGATTCAAGTTTACACACTTCATCGTGCCTCTACCTCTTTTCATTCTCTTCACGTCTGGGGCCACTCAATGTTCGCATGATCGCGAGTTACAAATTAGATTTACCTCCTCCAATCCCAATACTCAAAAGGAATGAAGACAGGTGGGATCTTCGGATCGTAGGAACCAAGACACCCGTAATTTCAAATGTGGCTTTACTTTAACTGGAGCTTCCAAATCCTGGTTCTACAGTTGATCATTTTTCTCTTTCTTAATTCTTCTTCCTTGTTACTTTTCTCTTTCGCATTTTGTGACTACTGCTGGGTATAGCCGCATGAGACAAGTCGATAGCCTAAACTCAGATATGCCACTTGTTGATGTCTCTACTTTTGTATCGACTCGTTGCGATTCAACACCAGGTAAGCATCCTGTGAAAAACCGAGGAGACACGGGCACATCATATCTGTGACCAAAGAGGCCCTTGTCCCGTGAAGCCACCGCCTTCTACGCCACATCACAGCGTTCCCCTCGATGCAAGTCTAGTCGAGTTCGAATCTGCGCACCGAGATTGTCCAGATATACACATTTATCCCAGTGAGACACGATGAAGCCACGTTCAGTGCCGGAAAGCATGCACTTCGCGCCTCCACCACCCGATGAAGTCACTTGTCGACACATCAATACCCAGGTCCTTGAGAGCCCGCGTGCTAAGATGACAGTCGTACGGCCGCTGGACACTCGCGTTCGGATCGTTGCCCTCCGTGTTCGCAATGATGCCGTCCATGGAGAGATCCATAATATCCGCAAACTTTTGGCAAATTTCGTACTTTGTCATCTTGTCCTCGCTGGAAAACTGCAGGATCTTGGGGAACGAGCTACGGTCCTCGGCCCCGAGGTACTTTTCGGCGATATCTGCAGTCCTCGTCAGCCATGTACGTTCGTTGCTCTCGTTAAGCAGCTCGCGACTTACCATGACACACGCGCCCAATATCCTCCGTGTTGGTCGGGTACCGAATCGCCCAGTGATCCATCTTCACCTTGGCGCCCCCGTCCTGCGTCTTCCACAGCGTGTCCATGAGAACATTGGTTGCGCTCTCCGCCGGCGTGTCCGCCTTTCCGTACAGCACAGGCACACGAAGGACGAGACCCAGTCCCGCGCGGCCGGCAGCCTTGTACTCCTCCAGTACGGCGCGCTCGCCGTCCAGCTTGGTCTGGCCATAGAGGTTCGTCGGCCCCGTCTCCGCTTCAGCCTCGTAGGGGGCGTCCCCTTGCTTTCCCGAGAAGACGTAGTCGGTCGAGATGTAGATGAGCAAGGTCGAGCGGGCGGCGCAGAGCTTGGCGAGAGACCGTGTGGCCTCGACGTTGAGGGCGCGGGCGGCGTCCGGGTCGCTGTCCACCTTGTCTGGGAACCTCTGGGCGGCGCCTGTTTATACTATTGTGTGAGCTTGTGCTGAAATTTTTTGTCTTATGTAGAGGATGCTGGTGTACATACAGTGCACAACTACCTGAGGCCTACCATGATCGTCAGTAAGGTATGGTACAGGCTATCAGCATGATGAAGGTGGCCTTACTTGGATTCATCAAGAAACTTTCCAACATCAGAGGTCTTGCCGAGGTCGACTTTGAAGACGGAGACGCCATCGGCGCGAGAGTATCCCGTACCTTTGACGTTCCAACTCTTCATGTCAAATGCCCGCGCTACCTGTCTTCCGAGGAGACCAGTGGCTCCGGTCACAACCACATCTTTACCCGCCATGTTGGGGAATTGTAGGTGAGCTTTAGTTAGGAGATTGATATCTAAAATCAAATAGCGAGCCTTCTCTGTTTCTGGCTAGTTTCCGCTGTAATGTAGGCGTATAGTGAACGTGTCGAACTAGATATCATTCAATTACATGGAAAGCTCTGGTACCGTCGACTACCCCGCGGTGGGGTTCGCGACCCGACCGTTGCGGGACACCCAATTGGGCCAACTCGCATAATTACATCATCCTCATCTAATGCATACCGAAGGTGAGGTATTCCACCTCAGGCTTGCTCCTGACTTCATCACGGCTTTCATCCAACTTTCTTTTCAACTTCAGATGAACATGTCCATCAAAGCCTCAATCCAGCGGAACGGATGGTTCCGGACAACTTGCAAAGATGGGATCGATGGGGGGCCCAGCCCGTGAGCATTGACGTTCCAAAAGAAGACTCGCCTCAACTTCTGGAATCGTCCCCAATTTGAATGATCGACTGACAGGTATGCGGCTGCGCAACGCCTCGTGCCGAAAGACTCGGCGGCAGGCAAGAGGGAACGATTGCATCGTCCTTTCAGGCGGTATTATCTTCTCGTCTTTCTAGGCTTCAAGGGCTCCCTCTCGACCCGTAGCTGGTGGTACGAGCCACGGGTGAACAATGCCGTCAACCCTCAATTCTTGACGTCGAGTCATGGCAATTTTTTCGACCATATTCCGCCTACACTGCAAGATTCCTAGCCCCGTTTTACACAGCTCGCGATATCTCGCACCAGGTCTAACGTTATCTTTCATCACAGCTATCTGACAACGTGGTCTGGCTGCGAAGTTAGTACTTTTGTACCTCCATACCGCACCACGACTCCTCTAGGGAAATTCATTTCGGAGAGATACGAGCGGCTAGCACTGATCGAGACACGGTGCCTAGGCCGATCATGTTCTCTTCAGCGGTGAACCTGAAGCTTTGCGCCCTACATTATCCGTGCCAATGCCTGCTGGACATGCGCCCTTCTAGCTCGAAAGCATGCACAGGGAGACCCTCGCCAAGACCGCATGCGATCATCCGACCCCATCCTCTCTTCGAGTATGGCTTGCGTAGCGGGGAGCCTATCTTCTGCCCTACCTCATGCAGAGGAAGATTTTGGCAGCTTCCCATAAGAAGAAACGTTAGAGGCGCCAGTCAACAACCCTGCCATAGATTCATCTATCAGAGCTTGATACGAGCATTTCAGAACTTGGTACAGATACAGCGCCGGCGTATGCAGAGTTCAGCAGGAGAAGCAATAGTGCCTTGGACGGGCAAAACTCAATTCGCAAAGTACCAATTCTACCAACTGATGAGTAGACGATGAGAAAATTCGTAAGATTACAGCTTGGGGCCCTTCCAAAAAGATAAGGCACATAGAAAGTGAGAGTGAAGGATGGCGCAATGCCACGACTCGGTCCGGCATGCGCAATATCGCTAGGAACATTCCTCGAGACTTGAAAGTTGGAAAGTGGTCTTTCATACCCGGCCCAGATTCTCCGCTCCGGATGGCATCGTCGTTCCATCCGTGGAGTAGGTGACAAGGGCGTTGTGACTGTTCATTCGAAAGAGAAAAGGGAAGAAACGAGGCAGCTAGACTCTCTCTCTGAAAATGGCGCGACAGGGAAAACCGTCACCGTCGGACAGGTGGCGGTTGCTACCATGCTCAACTCTCTTATCCCTTCCGGCGGGTGAATTGTTACAGCCGCAAAGCCCCTCTGTCATTGTCGCTGCGTTCCAAGGCATTTTGCTCGAAATACTACATTCTGCGATTCATGTAGGTTGATGTCTAGTCGAAAACCGGGGGCGCTGGAGGTTGCAAACTCTCTTACAGGTTGCAGAGCCGCGAAGACTCGTCAGCCCAGATCATGCGGGGGGCAATAGAACAGCTCCGATATGGGCCATTCATGCAATGTCAAAGCGATGAGGTTCCATTGAGCAAGTGTCAAGTTGAGTGACAAAAGTTTCCAGGTGGGGGTGTGTGCGTGAACTCTCTATTTCTGTTTCCTGGGTCAGCTTGATGCTATAACACAGCATCTTAATACATGCAATCCCAGTGGAGGGTTCGTCTTTGGTCTACTATGTATCTAATTGTTAGTTCTCGCCCACTGCATCCCACCTCAAAGTGAGGTAGCAATAGGACGAATTCGCGATGTGGTTTGGTATTCTTGTATACATGGTCATCAATAGTTAAAAAAGCAACTAGCAACTAGCATCAGAAAGGCAGACGAGGTTCCCGCCCTCACTTCTTCAGAAACTTCCTGAGCTGGTCGTCGAATATAGCTTTGCGTCGTAATCGCGTTTGCCCGCACCCGCATCTCTATCCCTATCCCTAGGCGCAGCATCTCTCCTCCCGCCACCCCCACGCGGCGTCGAATCCCTTCGTTCGTCGTACACGATATTCACTTCCGTCGTGCGCATGATCCCGTCGTACGTCATAATCTCCTCCTCGCTCGTAGTGGGTGAGTGGCCCCGGATCTCGGACCGGCCTTTCATGCTCTTGAGCTGAAACGCGTCGGCGGCGTTGCGCGCGGTATTCGAGCGGCCTCTGGTTCCCGTCGTGGCCGTGGCCGTCGCCACCGTGTTGCGGGACTTCTTGGTCGGATCGCCGCTGCGCACGTAGCCGCCTCCATAGCGACCGTTGGAGGAGCTCTTGAGGGAGGCGAAGAACTTGGGGAACCAACGGAGGAAGAGGCCGCGCAGCGCGGGAGCAGAGGCTGTGATGATGGCTAGGTTCGTTTCGACGGCGGAGTAGGTGAAGCGGATGTCGTAGGTCGGGTCTTGCTGGTTGATGTGATAGGATATCTCGATTAGCCATGCGAGGCGGAGGACACTGACGGCGGTGACACTACGAGATAAAGGTGTATTAGCAAAAGGGGGGGGGTGGTATGCCCGAAAGTCATATATGTCATGGCCTTGTGACTTACACAGCGCCGAGCCCAAATACTGCAAGAAGCGCCATCTTGACGCGGAGAGGCATCTTGAGCCCGAGGAAGATCCAAAAGGGCAAGGCCAGGGCCAGCACGTCGGTGAAGATGGTGAGGGAGGCGGTGCTGACGTAGAAGGCGGCCATGTCGATACACTTGCCCTCCGTCGGCGGGTTCCGACCCGCCTTTTCCCAAAAGTAGCTGATGGGCTGGCACTGGAAGATGATCGTCGTGAAGATGGCGATGCCGAGCGCAATGTTGAAGACGTTAAGCGCGTGGATGGCGTACCGGACCGACCTCTTCTGGCCGCTGAGCCGGAGCAGGAACATGAGCACTGACGTCTTGACGATGGCTAGGATTGGGTTGTACAGCAGCTGGATGATGTAGTTCCAGAGGCTCCCGAGGCGGCTGTCGGCTTCGAGGGGTATGTCGCTGACGTGAATGCCGATGAATCCTAACCGCATTCCCATGTATGATGCTGCTGTCTCGGCAATGGAATCTGCCTGGATGGTTCAATGTTGGTAACTACTTAGAGAGGTGAGATATTCGGGCTGTCAGACTTACCATGGCAAAGCAAATCAAGCCATCATCTGCATCGGCAAAGATTAGTTACAGTTCATTGGGAGAGAATGTCAACTCAGATCGAGGTCTTGGATTCAACTGACCCCAGCCAAATTGCTTGGTTGAGACTCGACTATACACCCGTAGGCCTACCACGAGGAGAGCAATCGTCGGAAAGAAGAATAGCACAAAGAAACCGGTATGTTGCAGAGAGGAATAAGGGTACGGATAGTCGTCGGTGATGGGTGGCAGCGCCGCCGAGGTGCTACTTGTGTCCCTTAACTGAGCCGCGTGGACCAGCGCCGCTACGGCCTGAGACATGTTGGACGTCCTCGATCTTCGTCAGATTGAGAGTTCTGCCAAGGTGTATACCAGTTTTCATTTCAAGCTCAAGAGAGCCTTGACCAACAAACGGGGGTCAGATATCTGATGCGAGGGCGTGGGAAACGGTTCAGAAAGACAGGACGGGGATAGAGGTAGATTCTATATGCCATTGCCCTCCTGGGGTAAGAATGCAGCTTGCTTGGAAAGGAAACGCCTTTTTCTTCAAACTCTTCTTGCACGTCTTGAAGTGAAAGGCGTACAACTCAGGTAGGGGTGGCCACACAGGTCAAAAAAGAGACGACAGAACTTGGCTACAAAGATGTAATGAAAAAGGTCAGCCTGTCTGCCTCTTCCTAGACTTGAAGCAAGACAGGGCCGGGATACAGGAGAAGAAACGGAATAGCGGCAGGCAGGCAGGGCCAATCGAGGAGGACCTCTCGGTGGCCTTTGCCCTCTAGAGTCTGAACAGCTTTACACGAAATGTGGCGGCCCTGGCTTTCCAAAACAGATCCTGTTACCAGTCATGTGGGTGCGGCTGTGGGAAGAGAAACTGGAGCTGCTCTTTGGGGAGAAGGACGGAGGTGCTGGCAAATCCCTACACCAGGATTCTTTTTTTCCTCCCACACCCCCTTGGCGCCTGCTCCTGCTGCTTTACATCTGGCAAGGATATCATCTTCGCTGGCCAAGAGTTCGATCGATATCCTTGTGTTGGGCAGTCAAATTCTTAACGATGTAGGTACAGCCCCCGAGCAGACATTGAGGGGGGTCGAGGAAGAACCCAGATGTTTGGGGCTTTCTTCCCAGTTCCACACCATCCCGCCGTCGATCTATGTGGGAATATGTCGCTGCTTGGGAGCCCAAACTGTAGTCTTGCTTCTCCTCAATGAGAGACAGCGCCATGACTAGTAACCGTTGAGACTACCGAGCGTCAGTGGCGTACCAAGAAAGCAACCTTCCCGTCCATTACACTCCTTCCATTGTCTTCCTTGACAGCTTCTGGACGTTGCAAGATGGTCTCATGTCTGTGAGTTCCCGTCAACAAGCTTACTTGGCAAAGATGGGGAGAGGGGTGTCGGGCTGTACGGATAGACCAGCGACTCCAGCCTGGAGTGGGAAGAGAGGGGCGGATGTGTCCCCCCGTTATGCTGCCCAACGAGGAAAAGAACCCGAAGCCGCTCGCATTTGCCCCCTCCTATCGCTCCATGGTGAGAAGGAATAGACTGTACGGATAGGCTACTGTGTAAATTAAAGGCGAGCCTCGCTGCTCAAAGGCCGGCCTGTAGGAGCAGACCGTGGGACTGGGGGTGTGAGCGAGGACTGCGAGGGTGGGTTGCCTGCAGCGATCGCGGGCGGCCATCTGGCAGGCGTGGAGCAATGGAGCTTCATCGGAGTAGCATTTTCTTGGAGACTCTGGGTTATCGAACGATGGCTAGAGGTTGACGTACAGTCACTCGTGGGCCCAGACCGGGGTTTGGATGGTTGTCACAGTTGTGTACTTGATGAGCGTTGGTGACTTCGTATAATTGTTGTTAGTGGCTAAGGACTGTGGCCGACGAACCCATGTTTCCAGGCCGAATCCCGGGATGCAGGTACACCGGGGTTCCGCAGCAAGTTCGGACCAGGTGAAACCAACCTGGAATTACACACTACACTACAGATACGCTGAGCTTGCGAACCTGGGACTTTTCGCTAGCGCAGCTGCGGCCGCCGTTGAGCGAAT